TCCACACAGCACCTCCAGGAGGGACACAGGGTCCACACAGCTCCTCCACCTCTGTGGCCGCTCTTGTGTTTTACATCCTGTGTCACAGGCCAACAGCTGGTCAGTGAGAAGCTGCGCTCTGTCCCCTCTCGCTCCCAAATCCAACCCCTTCAAGGTCAGCGACCAAGGACACACAGCGGTGTCTGACCCTTATTACACACGTGTGCGACCTGGGCGTACTCCGTATTTTCCAGGAGCACTCTATGGAAACGTTGTTCGCAGCACGGGCATGACCGCGAGGTGAGACTGAGAAGCAGTGACCAGGGTATGAGACGAAAGCTGGCACAGCGTGCACTTACTTCGCCATTGGCGGGCCCCTTCTCCTTCTGCTGGCAGCGTCGAATCACTTCCAGTAACAAGGGCCCGCCCACAGTACCTTCAGCTTCAATGATTCCTAAGTCCCGGGCTAAATTCTCTCGACCTTCTAGACCTTGGAACTAACAAAGACAGGGAGGTAAATGCACAAAAAATAGCAAGGGTACCTTTAGAGATTAACTATTTTCAGAGTTTACAGACACCTTTTTTAAATAAATTATATTCATTTTTTCTCTGACAGAGACTCCATAACGTCACAACAGAACTGACTACGGTAACGCCAAGGGGTTACCAGGAAGCATCGAGCTCCAGGAAGCAGGCACACCCGGCCTCCTTCAGCTCAGATGCTTCCTAAGTAGAAACGATAATCAGCCCAAATGCAAGAAACTAAGAGGTCAGATAGTAACTTTCGGTTAGTGTTAACTCAACTGTAGCAAAGACGACGTCACAGAATAGATGTAAAAAATCGTGAATCTCACCGTGCTAGTTTCAGGTTGAAAAACGGCCAAGGTAAAGTCAAGGTTGAAAAACTGTAGGAATTCTGCAACAAGACTAGCCACTAAACGGCCTGTAAAAACCAGAAAATGCTGGTGACCAAGCTTTAAGAACTCTGAACTCCATATTAGCAATTAATGGGAGAAAGGGTTTCTAGTTTTTTGTTATCAATTTCTTCTTTGAATAATCTGATTAATGAAAAACCCAAATTTCCCAATTTTTTTCAATAGGATCAGCAATCTGAAACTGCTAGACAACATGACATTTCGTAAATGCACTTCAGTGTTGTGCTTTGGGCAGTGAATGGGCCTTAGCCAGCACCTTCCCAGGACCAGAAATACTAGTAACAACTTAACCACCGCACAACCAGGACCCCGGCGAGGAGCCGTGTCAGTCCCAGGCGCTCTCCCACGGGGGTCAGGACTAGGACTCAGGACGGGGGACCTAAGTGAACGCTTACCATCTTTCGTGTTTAAGAACTTCCTCAGGCTCTCATTGACTAAAGGAGTTTTGTTCTGTTAAAAAAGCGAAATCGTTTGTCATGTATTTTAAGAACAACTACAAAATGTACATTAAAGCTTAATTTTTGGCAAAAATGTAATAAATGGCCATAAAATCATGACAATACATACACAAATCATGGCTCTATGAAATCCATTCCACAGCTCACAGGGTATGCTTTGTACTACTTAATAGCTAGTCAAAGTTAATGAAATTATACCTGAAGATATGTGTTTCTTTTACATTTTCAGATATTTTACAAATCACTACAAAACTGCTTTTAAAGCTAAATATTCCGGGGCTGGGGCTGTGGCACAGCAGCAGGGTTGCCACCTGCAGTGCCAGCATCCCATTTAGGCTCGGGTTCGAGTAACACTTGCTCTACTTCCAACCCAGCTCTCTGCTATGACCTGGAAAGCAACAGAAGACCACAGTCTGATGGAGGAGGACGGGACCACAGTCTGACGGAGGAGGAGGAGGACAGACCACACTCTGACGGAAGAGGACGGGACCACAGTCTGATGGAGGAAGAGGACGGGACCACAGTCTGATGGAGGAAGAGGACGGAACCACACTCTGACGGAAAAGGAGGACGGGACCATGCTGATGGAGGAGGAGGACGGGACCACAGTCTCAGGGAGGAGGAGGACGGGACCATAGTCTGAGGGAGGAGGAGGAGACGGGACCACAGTCTGAGGGAGGAGGAGGACAGGCCCACAGTCTGACAGAGAAGGAGGACGGGACCACAGTCTCAGGGAGGAGGGGGACGGGCCCACAGTCTTAGGGTGGAGGAGGACGGGCCCATAGTCTGAGGGAGGAGGAGTGTGGGGAACAACTCGGACTAGACTAAGTTACTGTAATTAAGACTTATTCTATGCATCTGCTCTCCCACAATATGGCGCTGAGAAGGGAGAAACAGCTTCTGCTCAGCTGCCTCCAGTTCAACCAATAAACTGTAGGACTTGCTCCTGATTGGAGGAGAGCAGCGTACTCGGCATGTGGGTAGCAGAGTTGGGATTGGTGGAAGAGGACTATAAAGGAGGAGAGAGACAACATGCACCAGGAACATCTATCTGAAGGAACACCTGTGCAGCCCCCGAGAGAGCCGGCTGGCGGTGTGCCGCTCCCCTGCGGAAGTGGGGAAAGTGGCCAGGGGGAACCGCCCTTCCACGGAGGTGGAAGGGACAGTAGCCAACCCGGGAAGAACCAGCAGCAAACCCGGGGAGGGCCGAGCAGACAGAAGAACAGCGCAGGGTCCTGTGTCGTTCCTCCACGAAGAGGGGGAGCGACATAATGGTGCCGTGACTCGGATAGGAAACTTAGGAGGGAAGAAACGGGAAGAAGTGGAAAATACCGGAGAGAGAGACTAGCAAAGAGCCTAGGGAAAAGCCGGACGGAAAAGGTGCCGGAAGAAGCTATCGAAAGCCTAGGTATAGACTCGGATACGGACTGTGGGAAAGAAGTTAGGGATTGGACGTTAGGGATGAAAGCAAAAGTTGGAAGCGGGAAGAATCTTCTAGGTTGAAAACGAAAATGGAAAGCGGGAGGAAACCTAGACTCGGATGCGGACTATGGCGGGGAAGCTAGGAGATTAAAAGCGAAAGTGAAAGCTAGAACAAACAGACTTGGATGTGGACTGTGGGGAGAAGCCAGGAGAAATGAGAGGGGAATATTGTTGGAAGAA